AATAAGGCCTCCCTGCAGCCTTCTCTTCTCCAGGATGACCCCCCCCACCTCTCCCAGCCTGTCCCCATGGCAGGGGGGCTCCAGCCCTCGGAGCATCTCTGGGGCCTCCTCTGGACTCGCTCCAACAGCTCCATGTCTTTCTGCTGTTGGAGGCCCCAGAGCTGGACGCAGAACTGTGTTGTTGACTTTCTGGGCTGCCAGCTCATGGCCAGCTGCTCGCCCCCAGCACCACCAAGTCCTTCTCCTCAGGGCTGCTCTCAGTCCACTCTCTGCCCAGCCTGTCTTTGTGCTTGGGATTACCCAGCCCATGTGCAGGACCAGCCTCTGCTCCCGTAGCTCAGCTGAATCTGTTTGCCTTTACACCCATGGTCTCCTGTATCCCATACTGCAGCATGCTCCGGCATGTCCAAGCAGCCCAGTGTTTTTGGAATGACCAGTGGACCCCAGAGCCACCACCATTGCACTGAAAATGGCTCAAAAATGAGATGGCCAGACAGGATTTAAGGTAGGGAGCAACATCTGATGCTGCTCTCGGGAGGTGAAATTGCACGAATCCTTCTCCACAGGTCAGCATCACCATCATCGAGGCCCGGCAGCTGGTTGGGCTCAACATGGACCCTGTGGTGTGCGTGGAGGTTGGAGAGGAAAAGAAATACACATCCATGAAGGAATCGACCAATTGTCCTTACTACAATGAGGTGAGTCTGTGCTCTGGTGATGCTCACAACTACCTGCTCCTGGGACTCTACACTGCTGTTAGTCAACTAAATGTATTTTCATGTGGCTTGGCTATTTTTCTTTTTTATTTCTGTTACATCTTGTCAGAATAAGATGAAATCTCAAACCACACAGAAGGAGAAATGAAGCCTTTGCCCTCTGGCATTTTGCAAAAATGGTAAAAAGTGCCCTGGCTTGATCTGTGCTAAAGTGTTCTCAGTTTTTCTAAGAAGTTAGTGCTTCCTTCTAGTTCCCCAAACTGCAGAGATAATCAGTGTTGGCGTTCACACGGATCGAATGCTCAGAATGTGCCAGAATGCTCCTCTGGGCAGTCACAGCTTCTCCAGCTGGACCGTGCGCCGTAATAAATCCTTTAAATCCAAAAGGAGCCCATCCCTGCTCTTCTGCCTTCACGACTGCTTTTTCCCTTCCAGTACTTTGTCTTCGATTTCCACGTCCCCCCAGATGTCATGTTCGACAAGATCATCAAGCTGTCTGTAAGTGAGCATGGTTGCATTGTCCTTTTCATGGGGATTTGAAAGAAACCAGCCCATTTTATATATGTAGTGGGGATGGATTTAAGGTCCTTGACATGAGACCTCCAATGGGAGATGGGGTGTGCCATCCTACAAGCCTCAGCTCTTTTGTAGACCCCTAGTCCCTATTTCTGAAGCTGACCTTCGTTTGTGGGGCCACAGAGCTGCATCCCTGCACTCGCTATCTCCCTGCATCTCTGGTATTTCAGAGACAGGCAGAATTAAACCTGTCTTGGGATGTGTTTTAGGCTTGGGGAGAAGCAAGACCTTCCCAAGTATTCCAGAGAATTTCCTGAGGCACGGGACTGGCAGAGCTATTGTGGAAATTCAGGACTGCAGATGCTGAGAGCAAAGCAGAGACTGCAGCCCTCCCCACCGCCACCGAGGAGGGCCATGAACAAGATTTGCAGATTCACTGACCAAAGCACACTAATTAGGAGTATCTAGATCTCTCTCATGCACACATCGGCTGTACAATTTCTCCCACTAAGGGAATTAGACCATAGATTTTGAGCATCCTGAAGACCCCTCCTTCAGGTATATGTCCCAGTGTGTGTTGCCATTGTGGCTGGAAAACTGCACCTTGTTTCAAAGATTAATTTCTTTGCATTTTTTTCTATTCACTCCAAGTATACACTTGCTCGCAAGAATGCTAAGCAAGAGCTGCAACACAACATGCTTGTTGTGTCCTTCTACAGACCAAGGTCTTTCACAAACCGAGGAAGATCATAGAATCATAGGATGGTTTGGGTGGGAAGGGACCTTAAAGCCCCACCAGTCCCACCCCTGCCATGGGCAGGGACACCTTGCACCAGACCAGGTTGCTCCAAGCCTCATCCAGCCTGGCCTTGGACATTTCCAGGGATCTGGCTTCTACAGCTTTTCTGCCCAAAAGATGCATCAGCTCCTTTCCCACCTGACACTGAACCCCTTTAGAAAGAACCTTATGGCTTCCAGGGTATGGAAAAAAGTCTGACTTGTTTCTTCTCTCGATTTCCAGGTGATCCACTCAAAAAACCTCCTGCGCAGTGGGACTTTGGTTGGCTCCTTCAAGATGGATGTCGGAACCGTTTATACCCAACCTGGTATGTAAACGCTGTTTGCAACCAGTCCCATGTGTCTGTCTGCACCGTTGAATAAATGTCCTTGCAAGGGAGCCAGGCAGGTGCTAATTTCCTTGGGAAAGTTATGGAAGCTCATGGAAGTTAATTTTAGCATCCTAGATATAAGCAAGTCACCTGGGCTCCTTGTGTGGTCTGGAAAGGGCCCTCAGCATCTCAGGTTGTGTGTCCCATCATGAAATAAAGGGTTGCATCCCGAAGCTGAGATGCCCTCTGGGTGTGCTGGTCCCTACCCGCTGACTTGCTGAGGAAGGAAACCCAAGGCGACTTCCTTATGCAAAATATCACCCTTCCAGACAGCTGAAGGTTGTGGGATGTGTCTTGCCCTCGGTGGCTGGCATTTAAACCAAGAAATGAAGATGCCTGGTGTGCAAAGGAAAAGAAAAAGAGGTTATTAGAACTGCTGTTGTGTTGCTCGTTGACGATAAACAACAGCAAGACCCCTTTGAGGGCTGGGTGCTCGCAGCATGCCGAGCTGAACACACAACACCCCTCCGGAAATGATACCTCCAAAATCACTGCAGGGTTTTTTCCTTGCTGCTGTCATGCCTATCACTGCACTTTACCTCTATAAATAAGTCTGAGAGCTAAGATGTAAATGAAGCCTCCAAAGCCTGCGCCTTAGGGATGCTTAGTAGATGATGCTGGGGGAGCCTTAAGGGATCATCTAGTCTTGTTCTCGGCTCCACAGAAGGATGAAGTCTTTGTCACACCATCCAAAAAGCACCTAAGATCTTAAAGATATAGAATCATGGAATTACTTAGGCTGGAAAAGCCCTCTCAGCCCACCCAGTCCAACTGTCACCCCAGCACTGCCCAGCCCCCCACTAACCATGTCCCTGAGCACCACATCCACACGGCTCTGAAACCCCTCCCGGGATGGTGACTCCCACTGATGGAAACTTCACCCACTTTCAGACAATTTATCCCGTTGCTTCTCACTCTTCAATGAGACACACCTTCCTAATGAATTTTTCAGGGGTTTCTCTCTGAATTCCTCACTGTTGAAGATGTTTTTTACATGTATTGTGTGGGTCCCCCCACTTGAGTGGAATGACATTTCTAGTCCTCAGAGTAATTGCTGTGTCTCATCCTGATAAATGACTCTCTTGTCCCCTGTCTTTCAGAGCACCAGTTCTACCACAAATGGGCCATCCTTTCTGACCCCGAGGATCTCACTGCTGGGCTGAAAGGTTACCTGAAGTGTGACATCGCCGTGGTTGGGAAAGGGGACAACATCAAGACACCGCACAAAGCCAATGAGACAGATGAGGATGATATTGAAGGGTAAGGATCTGCAGAGCCAGCTTCACATAGCATTGCTTAGGAATGACTTTTTGTCTCTCTTCGCCTTGGATTGTGTGTTGAGGATAGAATTCCCTTTGGATGAGGCTGATAGCCCTTCTAGTAACTAGAAGGACAGAATAAGTTGATGAGAAAAAAGGAGATGTGGCAGAGTACTGGTGCAAATCCATGTCATATCAAGGACAGAGTAGTCATTTCTATCAGGTCAGACCATCTGCTGGTTACCAGCACCAGCCTGATGTCAACCAACCTGATGTACCCAGTGTTTGCATAATGCTCCTGTTGACCCTTAAATGGGATGGGGTCTCACCACTCACTGCCAGGGCACAGCAGGGAGGTCTTGTAGGTGAGCAGGGCTCTTTGACTCCCCAGAACATCTAAAAGGCCATGGAATAAAAATCAGGAGAGTTTCAAACTTAGTTCCAGCCCCAAAATGTTTCAGGATAATTAAATATCTCCAAGTGCAACCACGGGCTTTCAAGTCCACCTCAGCCTCTCAACACTTCATCAGAAACCCAGATAAGTAACAACATACCAATGCAGCTGTCTTGACTTGTTAGAGACCAGGGGGCTTGAGGCACCACCTGGACTATTTTGGACCATCACTCCATGCTGTGGTGGTGATATTGTCCCAATTTTTCACGCACAACTCCAGCAATTCCTCTAGAAATTGTTTTGTTCACACCATCCCCCATGGCTCTCTTCATTTCCCTCAGAAGAGAAAAGCCACATATACCCAGAAAAACAATTTAATGGAGTTCAGTTCTTCTCCCAGAATAATCACACCAACTCCCCTTGGCCCCTGGTAAAGAAAAGTCTTTTCCAACGTCCCATTCATCCAGCCTGCATTAGATGTCTAAATTAGGCTGAGTTTAATTGCCCTCTAGACTCCCCTGACAGTGATGATTATATCCCTTCAGTGCAATGCATGTTGTCCTAGGGGCACCGCAATGGGCTGCTTTACCTTTTTTCTTATGAAACCACCACTTCCCATCCCAAAAAAAAATGAGGATGGGGCAGAAAGAGGACAGCAATAAAATGTACGGCTGCAGAAGTGGTCACCTTTCCAGCTCCACAAGGCCTGTGCTCAGAAACTGGGGCAGTTTCTCCCTTTTCCGTAAGCCTCTCCCGATAAACCTGCCAGCCCCAGAAGCTGTTTCCAACCCTACCTGTTGGCGTTGTAGGAACCTCCTCCTCCCGGATGGCGTCCCTCCCGAGAGGCAGTGGGCTCGTTTCTACATCAAGATCTATCGAGCAGAGGGGCTGCCCCGTATGAACACCAGCATCATGGCCAATGTGAAGAAAGCTCTCATTGGGGAGAACAAGGACTTGGTAGACCCCTACGTGCAGGTGGTCTTTGCAGGGCAGAAGGTGAGCAAGCTGCGTGTGGTACCAGGATGACCCTGGGAGGTAACAGGACCAGTCATTATGTGGTGGCCAGAGATGGTCTCAGTTGCGCTGGCGTGTAGATGCGTGGCAAGGCCACCGTGTTTGCGGTGCTTCCCCTCACTTGTGCAGACTACGATGGGTTTGCAGCAGTCTCCAGGTGAGGAAAGGAGCTTGTTACTTGGGAGAGGGGAGTCATAGCATCATAGAACGGTTTGGTTTGGAAGGGATTTAAAGCCCACCCAGTCCCACCCCCTCTGCCATGGGCAGGGACACCTTCCACTAGACCAGGTTGCTCCAAGCCTCATCCAGCCTGGCCTTGGACACTTCCAGGGATGGGGCATCCACAGCTTCTCTGGGCAACCTGTCCCAGTGCTCCCCACCCTCTCCAGGAAGAATTCCGTCCTGATGTCCCATCTCCATCTCCCTCTTTCCATTTAAACCCGTCACTCCCTGTCCTTGGGAAAAGTCCCCCCAGGTTTCTTGTAGCCCCACCAGGCACTGGAAGGGGCTCTGAGGTCTCCCCGGAGCCTTCCCTTCTCCAGGCTGAACCCCCCAACTCTCCCAGCCTGTCCCCATGGCAGAGGGGCTCCAGCCCTCGGAGCATCTCCGGGGCCTCCTCTGGACGCGCTCCAAGTGGCTGATATCCCTGTCCCAAGGCAGAATGCATATGTCATTAACAAGGGATCCGCTCAGGTTGGGAGGGATGGCTTGGGAGCTCAAACCTTTGTCACACATCTGTCTCCTCCCACTTGGCAGGGGAAGACATCCATACAAAAAAGCAGCTATGAGCCTCTCTGGAATGAGCAAATAGTCTTCACAGAAATGTTCCCCCCTTTGTGCAAGCGGATAAAGATCCAGATCCGAGACTCGGACAAAGTCAACGATGTGGCCATTGGTACCCACTTCATTGATTTGCGGAAAATCTCTAATGAAGGAGACAAAGGTAAAGCTAAGATGGAGTGGGGGCAGACCGAGCTGCCTTCTTCACGGTAGAGACATGTCCCTTTGGCAGAGTGCTAGGAAAATAGCCTAAGCTCCTTCCCCATTCCTGGAGATAGCTGCTTCCTGGTGCCCAGCTGGAGAGACCTCGTTTCTCTGCAGTGGTCTTCTGAGGTCACTGCATGTGCTCTTTGAAAACTAAGCCACATCATAGAATCACAGACTGGTTTAGGTTAGAAGGGACCTTAAAGACCATCTAGTTCCAACCCCCATGCCATGGGCAGGGACACCTTCCACTAGACCAGGTTGCTCCAAGCCTCATCCAGCCTGGCCTTGGACACTCCCAGGGATGGGGCCTCCACAGCTTCTCTGGGCAACCTGTTCCAGTGCCTCACCACCCTCTCTGTGAAGAACTTCTTCCTGATATCTAATCTAAACCTCCCTGTTTTACATCACAAACCTCCAATCTACCACTTGGAAACAAAGCCACCCACAAACAAAAAATTCATTGCCATGAATGGTTGAATATCTGACAGGTTCCCCCACCTGCGCACACACGAACGCACCAGCACTTGGGGGCAGGACCAACGGGAAATCAGAGATGGCTCTAGAAAGGGCACTAACAGCAGGTTCTTTTTCTTGACCCTCACACTGAGTAATTTGCCTGATGGGGGACTCAAGTCTGCCTTTGGGCTGCTGCACGGCACAGTCCCCGTCACCACCTCTGCTGCAAAAACGTTTCCATGTATGGTTGCAGTCACGCAATTCCACGCACACATGTCCATATTTGAGCATACGGTGCCGTACACAGACCAGGAAAGCGAGGCTAATCCATGAGGGAGTTTGTACCCTGAGGCAGAGACACCCCCTTCTCCTTACACATCCCCTTCCCTATGTGCATATGTGACCTGCTGCAGGCTTCCTGCCCACCTTTGGCCCTGCGTGGGTGAACATGTATGGTTCCACTCGGAACTACACCCTGATGGATGAGCACCAGGAGCTGAACGAGGGTCTGGGTGAAGGCGTCTCCTTCCGGGCCAGGCTTTTGATGAGTCTTGCTGTGGAGATCTTGGACACCACCAACCCGGAGATTAACAGCTCCACCGAGGTGCAAGTCGAGCAGGCCACGTCAATTGCTGATGTAAGTCATAGAATCATAAAATAGGATCATTGAATATTTTAAGTTAGAAAAGACCATTAAGATCATCAAGTCCAACCACTAACCTAACACTGCTAAGTCCACCACTAAACCATGTCCCTAAACCTACAGCTGCCAGTGGTGAGGCTCTCGGACCCCTTGGCTTTTTATGTTTGGTTTCACAAAACAAGATTTTATTTAGTGCTTTTCTATGTGTTCTGGATTGCCCAGCACCATGAAAGCAAGGATTTCAGATTTTGAAATTTTGAAAATCCTCCAAGGATTTCAGATTTTGTGATCATTCAGATGCTTACCTCTCTTAGGAGTGCTGGGCAGAAGGAATATGTGAGTGAGGGAGGATCCTAAACTTTGAGATGTTTCTCCAGTTGGGAGTTAGATAAGGACAAAGAGAGCCAGCTCCTAATGCCATCTGTCTCACTCCTATCCTGAAGACGGGTTTCAAACAGGAGCCAGGAACCTCATCTTTTTCCCAACAGATTCTGTCAGGGTGGAACTGGTCAGAGAAATTAAAAAGCTGTTTTCTGCCAAGAGAAGCCCCACAGCTTTAGATCATAGAATGGTTTGGGTGGGAAGGGACCTTAAAGATCATCTACTTCCAACCCTCTTTCCATGGGCAAGGACACCTTCCACTTCAGTCCTGACATGTAGATCCTGCAAAGCTGCTGCCTGTGCTCTGCATAACGGGCACATCCAGGCTTGTTCCACCTGGGAATACCCACGTAAGTCAATCCATAT